TCTGTGATTATCGCGTTTGTGATTGCGCCGTCATATCGCGGTCATAATGTCGCAACACGCACGTTGATACCGTTATTTCGGAAATTGAAGAGGGACGCTCGTGTCGGGCGGAGTATAAAAATCGGTCGTCGCATCCGACGCGAGAGGGAGAATTATTAAATTGCGAAATAATCCCTGTTTTGTCATGCGATATTTTGTGTTGCCCCGTTGAAAAACTTTCTACTGTCATAATATGCAGATTGTTGTTTATCGCCGGATTTGTCATTTTCGAAACTCGGATTTCACGTGTCGCGATATATATACAATTTCACGTCGAAACAAAATCCAATAAAATAATAAATTAGCAATTCAGCCCCACACGTATCGCGTACCGTTTAATAATATCGCATATACGATACAAAACGCACGGATTTTATTATACGACGTCCGACAGATTTATTTTCACTCGCACTGATCGCGTTAATCCTAACTCCGAACGATCGCTTTTCCCCGCTATTCTGATTAAACGGCCAATTTGACGCTGAATCGATTAGCGACTCCCTTTTAGAACTTGCGGTTTTTGTATTAGGTATCACACACGCGTTTCGGAATTAGGGTACAATCAAATCCAGAACTAATCACCGTAATCCGGATCTAATCTGGCGCCGTGCCGGGGCAGCGAGTGAAGCTCCCGCCCGGATCAATCGGGGATAATAATTGCAGGAAACTTGATTTGTATCAAATGGCAATCATATAAAGACAAATGGAGGTAACAATGATATAGATGAATGCCATCCATATTCAGGCGTAATTTCTGCAGCGTACGAGAGCGCGTACATGAGAGCGAGAGTGCATCAATTAAATCTTTTAATTTAATGCGAAACAATATATATCTGTGTCTACACTCTTGTATGAATAATAGCATTCTTTAGCATCAGCTCTTAATCCTTGTAACTCGGTAACTCTGTAAATAATAAGTTCCTCGAATGGCGTTAAAAGCAGGCGCGAGATCTGTCCGAGCGATAAGTAAAACTACACAGTTACGAAAGTAGAACGTTTTGCGCATTATCTAACGAAATGAGATGAATTGCTTCTTAAAGTCAGAATACACGGATATACGCCATTATCTTGATACTTGTTTTAGTAAAAAGGAAGAATTAGCGAAAGATGAAAAACACTCGATATTGTCTTTTACGTAATTTCGTTAAATCTATTAAATTTATCAAAGCTGGCTTAGATGTAATGTAATAAACTCGAAGTAATTCACAATTTTGTACACAGAGACTACGCGTATTTAATAAAATTCCCCATCGAACGAAAATTTCAAGCGAACCGAGCGAACGGAGCGGTATCCAATAGTCCCTCCCTTTCGCAAAGGCAGAAGTGGAAACGACTGAATGGCGCATGCAAAAATTAACGGGATGAAGAAATTTTATTGCTTTATTAACGCGCGGAACGTTTCGTCCGTACATTCTCCCTCTCGCGCGAGCTTCTCTCGTGCGCGCCTACAAGCTCGAGTGTGCCGGGCGACGTGTTACACCCGCGTGTAATTACACTGATGTTGGTCATACAGCGTGAGACTCTTTTGCGCCACGGTTTTTGTCAGACCGACACAAAACGAGGTGAGATGAAGAGAGAGAGAAGGCGAAACGACGGACGGGACGAGATTTCCACAAGCCACTTCGCGTGCTTGGAAGTTCGCGTGCAAAAATGGGTCATACACACATTTCGTTATGACGTATTGCTCAACGACGATCCACCGCTTTGTCCGACATCGCATTCTGCGTGCCTCATTCACCTAACTGGCGAGCACAGATTAATTAGCTGGAGACAAGATTAATTAATTACGGCGACCTCGACGAGTTCGACCTAGGGGCTTCTCGGTCTCTATACTCGACGTCGTGTTCGACATCGAGTCGCGCAAGAAGTTGATTCTCATGACCAAAGGACTCGACTCTAATTAGATTTACACGTATACGTATGTTAACTAACGAACGTAACGAGAGTTTTGCTATATTTTATTATATAAACTTTACAAAGCAAATAATAATGCCATTCATTATAACATTAAACATTTCACTATATTTACTTGTTAAATTAATTTACTTCTCGAATAATATAATGTCAAATACAAAAATGCATTCAGAGTGGAAACAATGCAATTTATAAACATCGCAAAAATAGAAATAAAGACATTTTAGATAAAAACGTTTTTGAATTTGATGTCAGTAATACTGAATGTAGAGCTCGCTCGTTTCCTCTCTTGCTAAAGTTAAGGACTTTCAGAAGGATCTGTCGGCACGATAGCGCAAATTGGGTCTGCCCCGTCCGCACGTAAGAACCTCCTAAGGGAATGAAATTTGCCTGACATCGCGCAACTATCTTTCAAGTTATTCTATCGTGCGTTATTTCTGTCTGTATAGAAGATTAATATCATTCATCTATCATTTATAAACGCGGAAAAATAATTAATAATATATAATTATAATTACATAAAAGTATTTTTTACGCTATACATTAATTGAGACATAATTAAACAGATTTAAAATACAATATTTAATGGAAAGAATTATCGGAGGCAACATTCGTTAATTTCACGATAACGTAAATGAAATAATCGTGAGAAAATTAATAAACAGCAAGCGCAAGAATATCATTATTATATCAACTGGTACATCCAACTTAAGCACGAAGTTTGACGACGAAGCGAAAGCTAAAGATTCTCGGAAGAATCTGTCAGTCTGCTCGCGCGATAACGGAGCAGCGAAATTTCCCTTATACATTCGCGCGCAGCTACACCTTTCAGTAAATAATTCCACCGAGTCGACTGTCAGCGACGGATGCGAAGCGGATAATGATACTCCGGGAACCTAATATCATTGATATCGCGACATTTCGCATTGCGAATGCATCACGGATCTTCAATCTTAGTTTGCGATACACCGCAAATATTCCGTATCCAGTTTCGCGCAATGAACGGGAGCGGAAGATGCCCGGGATGCCCGGTATACACACTCTCTCCGGTATATTGTGCAACGCGGCGGATGTTGAACATTACGAATAATACAAATACCTGACATCTCAGAGCTGCTCCTGAAGCTAATCCTTCGAAATATTTAAAGATTTAACGTGATATCCCGAGCATCCGCGAGCTGTATCATTTTTTTATTGACTCCCGTGACTTCCGAGATATACACGTGAATTTTGAATTTCATTCGAATCTGTGCCGAAAGTAGCGCTGAATTAAAACTTAAGAAAATAAATTTAAAAAATTCATACAAATTCACTCACATTCCTTTTTAGTACGCTTAAATAATATTGCGCAGACGTTAACGACGCGGGAAATAATCCGCCGAAAATAAACGAGAAGTTATTGCATGACAAATGCCTTTCATGATGTCGGGCCCCGGTGGCCCCGCTATTTAAATGTACGCTTTTGAAAAACTGCGCCTTTCCTGGTGTCGACGAGAATAATAAAAATGGTTCGCATGAGCGCGGGGGCGAGGAGGGAGGGGCGACGCGACGCGTGGAAACGCGCCAAAGTTTGTTCGATTCAATGGCAACCCTTTCCCCTGATGCGTTTATAACCCTCAGGGACGGTAGAAGCGTCGGGTAAAACGTAACGAAATTAAGCGATAAAATGTTGGGGAACACCCGATGAAATTATTCGAAATTTCCATTAAAAATCCGATTTTACATGACGTAGCGGAGCTAATTGCCAGAATCGTATAGTTACACGTAATAAAGATTTTTGCATTAATTCAATTTACGTATTTTCTGTTTGCATTCATATTTTCAGTTTTATATACGCACGTTCCATCATTCTATTAAAAAAATAATATAAATATACATACAGGTCGACTATTTTCACGATAAAAAAGAAATAACAATGCCAAATTTTTACCTTATCGCGCGTAATTAATGATAAAACTAGCCGATAAAACAGCTGAACGAGCCGAGATACACTTGACGCTGAGATTTCGCCGAGAAATAGATCTGAACGGCAAAGTGCCAAAAATGCGATTTGCTCAAAAGTTAAGAGGATTACTCGTTAAAGATCTCCTTCTTGTAAAGTAATGCTCCATCGATCCGCCGTCAGCTCGCGTTACATCTCCGGCTACGAAAATGCCCGACGATGACCCTTCACTTGGACGCGTTGTCGGAAAATTCTCCGTATATACTTAATGCGCTTTTAAATTTCGGTTGAATTTACTTCTTGCATTTTTGCGCGAGTGCGGTATTTACAAGCGTGTACACCGTGTAATCAGCTGTTTTGGGCGCGTAATCCTCTCTCCGATATAAGTGATGTACCGCATTAAATAAAGAGGAAAACCACTCTTAAGCTAAATAACAATAACGGGCAAGCTGGTAAGTAACTCGAAAGGATGTTTAAGCGAGAAATCGTAATCTGATCTATGTTTAAAAGCACGCGCATAATGCAGAATGTCGCGATAATATCTAATATTCTTGTAATCCGAGAAGTAAACCGAACCGAATCTTAAACTTTGAATAAAATTATCAGGCACTCTGTATAGAACAGTCCTAGCCGAATTACAGCTATGCTGAGTATGCAAAATTGCTGTGCATTTTGAATTCATTAAACGAAATGAAATTTTATCAGAATCATCTGAATAATCTTGTTCTTTGTTTCATATATACGTGACTATAACGTATCATTTACATATTAATTAATTTTGTTATTAAAAGTTTGGTTATCTTTATTATTAAAAAATTTAATACTAAAAAAATTACATAGTCTAAAATAAGGGAAATTACGTGTATGACATTAATTAGTCTACTCCTTGTTTTTCGATTAATTATTCCGATTTGACTTTAAAATTCGAAAAGGACAATAGCAGTCTTAAATCTAGATGAATAAATAAAATAGACGGCAGATAAGAATAAATACTTATCGAAGTTTTTTAAATAGAATGATACTACCACTAATATATCGCGTGTATCTATTCTGATTTATACGATTTCATATCGTTGTAAAACGTTGTAAAACGGCGACCTCGTACCTGGTGTTAAGCCCCGCGTGCGTCCGGTAACGATCGCCGATGGTGGCGAAAATACTATCCTGAATCCTCGACTGCTGAATACCCTAAATCTCCAAAAAAAAAGTCGTAGCACACACGCGGCCGGCTCCGGAGTACGATACCGGAGCGAAGCCGTTCGCACGCGCGCGAACGCCACGGACGCGATCTCTCGTTCACGCGAACGATCGTCAGGAGGAAAAGGGAGAGAAAGAGAGAGAGAGAAAGAGAGACGGAGATAGAGAGAAAAAGAGAAAAAGGAGAGGGAGGAAAGGGAAGAGTCAACAGCGTACAGGCCGGGGCCGAAGGAACTTGGAGCGAGCTCTCTCTCTCTCGACGCGAGGGAGTCGCGGCACGATACTGACGAGTCGTCCGTGGGGCGCACGGACCTCATGCCAGGATCTCCATCCCCACCGATCCGGCGTGGCGCGGCGCCGATATTCAGGGCCGGTTGATCAACGGTGGATTGCCGCGATCCCCCAATCGTCTGCCGCGTTAGGGTTGATTAGTTGACCGCATGTGGGTTAACGCGCGACCGTAAAAAGCCATCGGCTCGTCGCAAACGGAGCGTCGCTTCCGAAAAATTTCAGTTTCACAGAACGCCCTTAAGTTTTCTGACCCTTCCAGTACTCCATAATTGTGATTCTTTGGTGAGTGTCCAATATTCGAAAGTATCCGATAATTACATATCATCGTTAAAACGACAAACGTCCTTTTACGAAGTATGTTTCAGGTTCTTTTTTTTTTGCGAAACGATCTCGTTATTACGTCATGCTTTCCGCTCTTAGATTTTCTTTGTGCCTTTCAATCGTTCAGACAGTTGATGTGAACGAACACGAGCAAGGCAAACCTTCCCGAATGGACGAGTTAAGATCGAGAGAATTAAAAGTTACGTGATTGTGTGGCGAAAAAAAGACTAGAGGCAATCTTTGGGACTATCGACTAGTAGAGAGAAAGCTGTACGTGTGACCGCCCGAAAAAAACATAGGTTTTATTATGTAAACAATTTTTACGCTGCTTAAAATAAGATAACTGATTTTACATTGATGCAAACAGATAATCACTTAATCCGCGTTAATTATATAAGACGCACGGACAGCTTAAGTGACAGTGTAATTATTTAAGCAATACTTGAATCGCAAGATATGGAAATAAATAGAAATAAATTTAATGAACGGGTATTGATTATATGGATGTCTGTATTAAGCGTAATTAACCGTCATCACAGTCATCGCGCTTTTTTCCAGTAACAAATTAGAAGTTAATCTTAGCTCATCGAGGAAATTAATTGACTCTACTTATGATTCAAATTGGCAGTATCCTTCTTGTTGTATCCTTGATATACCTTAGACCTAAAGTATTTTTAATATATCCTATCGATTGCATAAGAGAAAAAAAAATTATAATTGTAATTACATCAAAACACAGATAATATTCGTTCTTTTTACGCTAAACTTGTCGAAATTTTTTTCGAGTAATGTCGATGTTTTACGATTAAAGGAATTGTCAAAATTCTCGAAATATCAATGTCTTTAAAGTTTTAAAGCCGGTTATTTAAAAATCATTAGATAAACATTAATTTAGAGCAATAATGCTAAGCCTGCGTGGTCACGCACGCATTGCATCATGAAATTCTATCGCGTTTCATGAATCGGGTTTGTTTGAAACACTCATCTCGTTTCTAAAACTATACCTTTCGGCTTTTGTAAATTTAGCGCGCGCACGCGCGCGCAATAAAGATAACGCCAAATATTTAAATGTAAATGTTTATTCACCGATAAAACGCTGTCGTAATAGTTGTTTCTAGTTATACCTATCTATATACGATACTACGTACCTGCGGCTGCATCCAGCCGTTCCATTCAGGACGCGCGCATTCTATTGCTATGAACTTTCGATGTCACGACTCTCTGATCCTTATCTGAATCTTCTCCAGGATTGCGCCGTTTATTACGTATCGTCATTATTATGTATACAAGAAGGCACAAAACTGCCAACTTCCAATCGCGTTATCGACTGCAATAATAGAAATGACGCATTTGCAAGTAAAAATATTAGAAAGCGTAAATTGAATATCAAAGTGTGTACTAAAACTTTAAGATTTAACGTTTTCCATAAAACTTAAAGCAAGAAATACAAAATGTGAAATAACAATGTACCAAGTGATTGATTTGCAATATCAAGTGGAAAGATAAAGAAATGCCTGAGGCGCGGGAAGAAGAGACGAAAAAAGGAATCCTATTCTTTCCGATCTTCGTCATCCTTCTCATCGCGATCGAAAGGCTAGTCTTACTAATTTGGCCTTTACTGCTTTCTCCTTTTCTTATTATAAGTCACAGATATATTCAATTTCTTTAATCAGCTATAAGGGATCCTTTTCCTCTTGCGTCATCGCGCGGCTGACATAATGCGTTACAAAATGAAAGTAAAATTCTATAAAGCATGGAAAAAAGTTGCGTATAAAACTTTATCACCTCCAAATTCATCAGATACGACGCCCCTAAAGATTGATGCGAATCTTACGAAACAGTTGATATACGATCTTGAGCGCACCGCGGGCACTTTCTCCCCGACCCGGCAAGTAATGTAGGCCGATATAAAAAGGCTAGCGTAAGTTTCAATGTCAAGGCGTGGATAGATGGGTTCACGCCTTAGGTATAGGCGTGTCGAGGATCGACGATCAATCAAAAAGTCGATTAAAATGCAAACTATAATAAACGCGTTTCTACCTCTTCGTCCTATTCTTGCCCTTTCTCACACGCAGCTCTATTTTAGTTCGTCGCTTCGCTCCCAAGACCGATTGCAAGTATTAAAACTCTCGAGACACTGTAAAACAGGAAACTTGGCAAATCGGATCTCTTTTCGCCGGGGAAAAGATCGTCAGATACACCGAAGGATAATAGCGGAAGCGCGACGAAGTCCCCGAGGCGATGCAATGTATCATACGGCTTAGACGCTCCGCGGAACGTTTTGCGAATTGCCGTGAGGGTCACGACGTGTGCCATACCGTGCAGCCGGAATCGTAAAAGTAACCACACAGCCGCGCGGAGCGCAACTTTCGATCGTTTCTCGTGATGCGACGTACCGATAGCGTCCCGTAGTAAGCACTACCTAGTGAATGACACGATCTCCCACGCCTCTCTATTCGTCTTCTTGACTGGCTGTGCGCGCGAGGCGGAGAGGAAGTTCTCCTTTCTCTCTCTCTCTCTCGCGCGCGCGCGCGCAGCGAAGAGAGAGGTAAAATCTTGCGGGACGCATCCTTTTACTGATGAACGCGTCGCGCCAGTAAACTCACTTTCATCTGTGATATTAGCCGAGCCAAGGCGAGCGAAGGCGCAAGGCGCGCGCGATTCGCCTTTCGATTCGCGCGCGCCGGGACACGATCGAGGCCCGCCGAGCGTCCATAAACGTCCTCGCACGGACGATTAACCCGTGAGGGTGTTTGACACCGATGCGAGTCGACGGGATAGAAATAGAATGCTAAGTAAAACGTTTATCGAGACTTCTGTATACCGACAATCCGAGCTCTCGAATAAAGTCCTAAATTTAAAATTAAAATAGAGATACTTTTGCGAAGCGGAGAATCTAACAATAAATAATTGCAGGAGTTCTTTCTTCCTTCGCGATGCGTGTTACGCCGAGGATTGTGTTAATTTACGAAAATGAAAGAAGAAATACATTAGCTGACTGAGCAGTATAGAGCTCCGCACGTGAGCCGAATTCATTTGCAATTACTATTCGGTATAGTTTAAGTGATTTATTATACGTGGTTCAATTCTCGTATTTCTTTTTTAATGCGGTTTTCCTATTTTAACACGAGCTGCTTAACGTGATTACGATCTGCGAACGTGACAGTGACGAGGATATGAGAGCCAGTGTTTGGTTTAATCCTGTGTACTGTCCTCCTTTTCTGTCGTATATTGTACGTGCAAACGAAATGACGCTGCTGTGCGCGCACCATTGTCTCCCGATGCACTTCTTCGTGCTAGTAATAACAGCAGCACGTGTTGAAAAAAAAAGGTGGAAAAATATACCCCCTCGCGAAAAAGTCAAATTACAGTGGAGGTACCGGCGCAGCGCCTCACGGCGAGCACTTTTCTTGAATAACGTATACGGACGTGGTTACGCCGCGACGTAACGACGAAGCTAGGCGGCACTTACGAGGCGTTGAAGTATGAGAAAGGATATTTTTAAATGTGCATTCTCGCACCCCGGGGAAACCAGGAAAACCGTGGAACTTTTGAATTAGAAACAGAATTAATGTGAACGTGATGTTTTTTTTTCTTTGTTGACACAACCTATATTATTTTCTCAACGTTATCATCGTTTCAATGCGAAGCGCGGAGGCAACAAAATAAATCCTTTAAGACGGACGTAACTGCTGCATTTGATAACTGAATAAAAAAAACTTGCAGGGAATTAAAATGTCCTTCTGTCTGATTGATATAAAACTCGCGGTGCAGAGTTTCATATTAATATTATATTTTATATTTATGTCATTATATTCTCTAATTTAATGTTATTTAAACGCATTAAAATGCTCCATTTTGTTCAATATTTCTACAGATAATTAAAAAGATGTAATTATTAAATATCATTTGTAATATTTAATATTCAATTATATTCAAATTTATCAGTATTTAATAAAATTGCCTAAACCTAAAAAAAACATAAACCTAAAAAATTTAATACAAAATCAACAACGCACGTTATCGATATTGTCAAAGATGTAATTTTATCGTAATATTGCTGTCGATACTGATGCTTGTTAAATGCACTGTTGATTTTATGGTAAAATTTTTAATAAGCAGCTTGTTGATTATTCGCAATAGTTTTGTTACGCGTCGCGTCACGTTGCGTTGCATTAACTTGCCTGAACATTCAATTCCATTTTGGAAAGTTAGGCGGCGTGTCCCACAACTTCGCGACTATAGAATCAAGAATTATTCATCACGCGCTATAAATTACAGCCGACAGTTTGTTGACGTCGCGTCAGCCAGCCTGAGGACTTACTTTCTTCCCTGTCATGATGCAAACTAATTGCTCGGTCGTTGTCCTCCGGCTTCTTTGCGTTTTCGTTACGCCTAGCTTGCCACCTGGTATTTCAATAAGCGGATTGCTAATTCGTTTAATCGTAGAAAGAAACACAAACACCATACGATC